AGCTTAACTGATTTGAGACAAATCAATTATTCTTCTTTTATACACAAAGGAAGAATTAAAGAAGGAATAAGAATCTATACATTTTCCTAAAATGAATTTTCAATATTAATTGAAAAGAAAATATAGAGAAATTAAAATGATAAAAAGAGATTGACAAAAGAACAACAGAAAAAAACTATTTATTTACTTTATTTACTCTTCTCAGGCTTTCTTTGGTGATAAAAACACCATAAACTTACCAAAATAGACCAATCCTTACTAATTCAACTAAAACTTATCATTGAAAATGTATCCAAGCCTGAGCCAAAGAAGAAAGACAAAATCCTAATTATACAGCAAACAATTTGCTTCTCATTCCCCATCCCCTGAGCAAAAGGGGACCAGCTGAAGATGATGGACGCGAGCAATTTCTTAAACATGGCAAACATGCGAATCACTTTGCGGCGTCTCTCCCTTGCCATTTTTCCCCCACGGCAGCCCTCCTGTTCTAATTGTTCCCAAACATCTCACACGAGCGCAGTGAGTTGACGGCGGACGGGAGATGCTGATCTCCCATGATGCAGTGCGCAGAATAAAGGAGTATTCCCAATTTGACTATCTACGTCAAATTGGCCAGCGTTAAAATAAAGGAAAAGCTCCAAAATCAGTTTACCTGGAGAGCTTTTAGAGCCACTCAAAAAGGAAAACCTGCTGCAGTTTATCAATTAGTTTTTGGGGTTTTTTTTGTTTAAGTGCGTTTTGTACTTTTGAAATGGAAACTTTTCAGCCTTCAAGGTTGCAAGTGACAAACGCTTGTTGAAGAGAAATGTGTATCAGCCGCTAACTGGAGTGAAAAGGGAGAATTTATTCCTGCTCTCATTGTACCCTTTTCTTTTCTTTTTTCTTTTTTATTTTTTGAACAACAAGTCCTACATGAATAGAAAAATTCACGGCATCATGTGAAAATGTGTCGGGTGAGTGAGGGCCATATCGCGTTAGCGTCATGTTGGTTGCTATCAGCAGCATATTTAGCTTTTGCAAACGCTGGTAGTCCAGTAGCCCTTATGACATGATAAGCTTTAAAAATCTGGGAAAACTCTCATCTTTTTGTCTCCCGGTAGAGTCAGACTTGTTGAAAGAAGATTAGCGCTTTTTAAAGCTACGTTGCCGACGTGAAGCAACCGCCTCTTGAAACAGTTAGCTGCTCCCCTTGGAGTCACTTCTGAATTTGCTTTACATGCCATTAAAGTAAATTTCCTCAAAAAGCCTCTCAAGACAACAAGAACTGTCTCGTTTTGTAAAGCTAACAGAGGTAATCCCCTTCTGTCTTTCTTTCTTTCGCTAGTTTGCTGACTTGTTAGCTTGCTAGCTAGTTAGCTGGTAGGATTAATCCTTAAGTGAAACAGAATTTTCTTGTCTTGCTAGTTCAGTGAAATGCTACAAAACAAGGCAAAAGAATAGATTCATCTACAATAAAGTTTTTAGTGTAAATGTCAAAAAAAGTAGCAGTGTGGGCAGGCACAATCAGAGCTAAACAATAAATACACGGTTCAAAAGGAATGCCTGTAGGGAGCTTAAACTGCATTTGTCACCCTTGTTTACAGAACACGATCAAAGAAAATGTTCTCAATTCTAAATGGATAAAGCACAGAAAGATGAATCTTCAGAAGACACTGAGATTTTGACAACAAAGCAGCCGGCAAACGCGAAGGAGGAAAAGTAACTGGCTGACATACTCAGCGTCAGGTCTCGGATTATTTAATCAAGAAGAAACAGAGGGGACATAGTTGTAAAAACCATTTGAAATCGCTCCTGTAGCTGAGCAGCTGATAAACAAACTGAATGCAGGCACATCAACATCGACCGAAAGGGAGATTTCTTTTGTTTATTTGTAGGAAAGATTAAGGAGAAAATATGCATCTCCCCCCCTCAAAATGCATGTCTTCAAAAAGAACCTGCTGGGAATCAAATGCATTCTTCAAGTGAGTCAGACAATTGGTTTTATTGACTTAAAATCTAATGTACGTCATGCTATAATGATTCGGTTACTTGATATCTGGGTGTAGACTACATATGTATAAACTCTAACTTTCAAAGAATAAAAAAATGTAAGACTTGAATGAAATCAAAAGTTGAATGATTTTCCAAAAATGAAGTGTGTTTGGCAAAACGTTGCCCTGACCATCAGAGGATGAAAGTTTAAAGCTCAGCACACAGTCTAGAAACACTGCAAACTAGCAAAAATAATTACTAGTTGGATTAATTTGATTGGTCCATAACTAGGTAAGGCTGCTTTCAGTTAGAGCCTCTCCACGCACGAGGCTCACCAATGTGAGTGAGTTTTCATTAGCATAGACAGAGTTTCTGCATAGCAGCGTCAGATTGAGCAACATTGTAATCTTAAGAATAATTTACCCAAAGTTTTGGTTTCCAAACACAGATGGAGATGATTTCCGTAGCAACAAATATACGACAAGGAATTGCCAAAACCTTAAGGTCCACGTGGGAAATTTTGAATATTAGAAAATGATGGAAAAGTTCAGTTTAAAAATGTACTTGGTTCAAAAAAATCTACGCTGAGATACTTCCTTCAAAGCAAAAGTCAACAAGTTTGTAGAAAAATAACCTGGCCACAAAAAAAAAAAAAAACACCAATTCTCTGCACAAAGTCAATAAAAAGTTGTTGAAATGTCAAAAACCTGGTAAATAACCCAGGTGTCCAAAAAAAAAAACACAGACAGTAAAGAGAATAAAAAGAAAATGAAAGGTATTTGTCATGTCGGTGCATGTCCCTCCCTACGGAGCCATCATTAATTAAGCGTGAGATTGGTCTCTCCACTTCACACCCCTGCCTCTCGTCTTGTTGAAGCAGAGATGTCAGGGGAGGAGACGCTTCTCGTCTCAGGTAGAGTCGATTCAGTGGACCTTAAATAGACATCTGTGAACACAACCCGGTTGCTTTTGCACCCCCCCCACACCACACACACAACCCCTACACCCCCCACGCACACACACACGCACACCCACACACTCAGGCACCCCGGCTTTGGAAACAGCTGCTCATGTGCTCGAGTCTAGTACCGCGACAGGGGCCTATAGCTCTTTCCAGCACTGCAGTACATCACTAATGATAGCTCAACTCCCTAAACTCCCCTGTACTACCCAGAGGGGTAGTATAGGGGTACTGCCGAACGGGTACAGGTCCTCTCTTTACCGCTTGCACCACGGTGTCTGACAGCCGGCTGGGGAACTGTAAAATTAAAGGCCTCGTCAAATGAAATACTGCGACGCGGCAACGTGAATCAAAGCCGGGCCTGTCACGGTGGCTGGTGGAAGAAGAATGACCAAGGCGTGTTCTCAGAAGGAACACAAAACTAAAACGGAAAGTTGGAGAGGGCAGGCAACTACATTGTTATTGGTGAGTTACCAAGAAGCTTTGTCTGGCGTCTAATGGCGGCGTTACAGATATCGACGAGAGAGGTATTTGCTTGTCTCACCTTGAGAAGTCGAGCGCGTTGTCATAAAGGCCTTTCAGAGGAAGAACTTTATTGACTTCCTTTGATATTAATATTTGCCCGAGACGACACAAGCCTCTTTCTTTATGACGTGACCTTGCTGTTACTGCCAGAGACGGTAATGTATCTCGGCTCAGTCATCATCGCTGACTCATGGAGGGGAAGGAAATGGATTGCTTTGTTTCTGTCGCGCGTCTTTCTGTCTTCACTTCGACTTCGGCCTGGCATTTTGCACAGCCACTCCCGTGCAGAGGTGGAAGTGTCAGCACCGACATGGAGGGTCATCATGACTGCGCAGCAGACAATCTGATGCTGAGGTGGAGAAGGAGATAACAGTGGTCTGTCATCCACTACAGCCTCCCCTCCCCTCCACAACAGCCACATCTCACTCATGAGGGAGAGTTATTGCTTTAATATAGACAATGAAGGGTTCAATTTGTGCTCCCGGTGTCAAAGGACTGCTGGGCATGATTGCTTTCTTGGCACGGCTGTGACATTCATTGGCTCGAACTCGGGAGCGTATTGGAGGAAGCCCTCTCTCTCGGTCCCGAAACGTGTTGCATGACAGATAAGAGGTGGAGGAGAAGGGAGATTGGTGGAGGGGGAAGCAGAAAAGGCACGGCTCGTCGAACAGCAGCACTTCGATCCCTGGCAGAATGAGAAATACAGTGTCCTGACCTTGGCTGATCAAGCAGAGGGAAAGAAAAGGGAGGGCAGACGTAATCCAAACCGCGTCCAAATCCAAAAACACATTAAATAGTAAAGAGAAGGGAACGGTTCTCGTGTTTACACTTTGGGGCATTTTTAAACCTTTAAGCGAAAACTGACCCTCTATCTCTTGGAATTGTTGCTTTTTTATTTTACAAAACACTAAAGTTTTGTTGCTTTGTATGAATCCTATTTGAAAGGAAACCAGTGCCTACTGCACAGTTTATTTATGTTGTTGGCTTTGGAACATTGCTAAACAGAAAAGGTTAAGACAATATAATTTATATATGAGCAGTTTTTATTAGTACTGTCAATTAAAAATGTAATCAGCTGTATTGTATTAGAGCAGATACTGTGCACAGTATCTGCTCTAACCATAGTGGTTTTTTAAAAGCAAAATTTACCGCTCAGTAAACATCTTTGTCACTCTGCATTGTTGACCAGAGTACAACACCGTGTAACGTGCAGATTTTATTTCAGGTATCCCTCTGTGGGAGAAAGGCTTTTACGCCAAAATAGGTGATGCGATTAATCTGCATCACTAATTCTAACGCGTTAAAGTCGACAGCACTGGTTTTAATGCAACACACATTTGCATATTTCTACACATCAATTTCTTCTGTCCAGCCCGGTTTTTGAACATATCTTTTTTAAATTCTTGACAACCAATGTATCAGCTGCTGCAGCTTCCACACATGCTAGCGTTCGCCTCAAACTCTCGGCCGAAAATCACTTGAGAACCGATTTAAAACGCAACGCCTCACCGCGTCCACTTTCATTCGTCCCGAAGAGCTGTACCTGAATAGACGGCGGCGAGCGCTGTTTGCGGGTGGTTGTGGTGGACAGCGTGGTGGTGGTCTCAATGAAGGTGGTGGACATCTCCGGAGGCATCGACGTGGTGGTGCGTGTCGCACCGCGGCTGGTGGGCACGTCTCCCACGAGCCGCACGCTCCCGTTCACCTTGATGTTAGGGTGGCCCTCCGCGGCCATGTTGAGAACCTTGAGGCCGTTGTAGTAGAGGCCGGAGAGCTGGCCTTGGTAGGGCCGCTTTCGGTCGTTTCCGCCGATAGAAATAGTGGCCTGTGTGTTGAAGATTGTCAGCTGCCGGCCTGGGACAGGAAGAAGAGGAAAGGGGTGAAGAGGCAAACAATGAAAGGTATCTAATGCAATACATAGGGCTGCCTGTCACTTTGCCCCTTCGCCAGTTTGTACGTTTTTAGATTTGGTCGTTGTACACAGAAAATGTCCAGGTACAAAACTCAACTACAAGATGTTTCATATCAACAACGTGGTACTTCAACATCAAGAAGATTTAGTGAAGTAAGTCAGTTTGTATATTTGTCTTTAGTTACAGAATAAATAGCATGAATGATATGGTTTGCTTATGGGTAAAAATCTATTATATTTGGCTTCTACCAGCAACTGAATCAAACAAGAATCCCAATCGATTAAGACAAGAAGTTCCAAAAGTAACATATATATTGATCAGAATACTAATCTACAAGGAAGAAATGAACTATTACACATCTTAAGACGGACCTGCGCAAAGTAGAAAGTACAAAGCTTTCGGGTTTGAATTGGAAATAGGAAGGAACTTAATGGTGATGCTTGGTTACAAAGTTGGCGATGGAGCAGTTTGACAGAGAGCCCACAAAAGTTGTTCAGTAAACAACAGAAATTACCTGTCAGTGCAACATTTGTACATGACTTACAGCGATACAAAAAAAAATGCTCATGTAAAGCAATGTATTGTTTCAGTTCGCAATTAAATTAGGTTCTAAATGCTGAAAAAGAATTGCACATTTACTCAAAGCAAGTAGCAGAGCTAGAAAACCATTCGCCCTCCTACGACACTATAAACACATTTAAATGGAGAACATGCAAATTTTAAAATAACATCTAAAAAGAATGAGCTGGGAAGTTTATTCTATGGATAATATATTCCTGACTAAACACTGGACTTCGTGCGGGGAAATGATGAATAAATACATACACTTGCTGCGGCGTGTTATAAAGACAAAACGAGTCCTAATGTGCCGTGCGAGTTTGATTAGACGGCGGCTAAATATTACAGTCAAAACACACTGCTCATGCATTAATTATGAAATTGAAATGCATGGAACTTCCACAAAACGAGAATCATAATTGCATTTCTCATTTGTGCAACTCACAGGCTAGCAACACTGCAAGCTTTGTTCCACTATGTTTGATGTACAGCACATTAGGTATGGAGGGAGACAGGGCGTGGTGGGTGGAGGTGGGGGGGGGGGCGTTCATATCACAGAGAATGAAATAACACGTGTGGAGCCATGCATGCAGCAGTAATGGGATATTTTCTTTTCTTTTTTTTTTTTCGTCTCCCAAAACCTGTCAGTGTTTTTAGCGGTTGTTAAAGGGACTTTATGAAAAGGTTAAGACGTTTATATGCTGTGAATTTTTAAAAAGGCAGTTTATAGCGGCATAACGTGGCACGAGAAGGTCGCGTTGTGGTGGTGTGGGGGAAGACGGGGGTTGGGGTGGGGAGCGGGCTCCCTCGACATCCACGTGGGTGTGTGTTTAAGACAGACAAGAGGCCGGCTTCGATAATCCAAGCGATTAGTAAGCGCGGCTCTGTCGGCCGTCAGAAAGCCTCCAATTATCTCTCCATCATCAAAACAGGTTGGATTTCCATTTCGTGTGATGAGTACACGAAGATAAACTACAGCAGAGAGGAGCCCTCTCCCCCCACTCCTGTTGTTAGAGATGTTTTCGGGGAGGGGGGGTGTTATTATGTCAGCTGATTAGTTTGTTGGAGGTTTTGAGTCCAAAAAAATCCCCCTACTGTAGCTGCAGAGCTAACGCCTCCTCTAAGTCAAATTCAATGTGAACAAGAGCATCTGCTCTTTCTGTCACAGTCCCTTTAACTGGACACCATGATTAAACGAGATAAAAAAAAAAAGTGATGATGGGAAGAAAAACTAGGGGTTTGAAAAAAATAAAAAAATCACATAAAAATCCGATTTATTTTATAGATTTTCTTAAGGGGTTTAAGGGATGGTTTTCTCATTCTCGGAGGTTGAAGGGGAGCAAGCTGATGAAATGACTGGAAAAAACGAAATAAGAGAAAGAGAGACATTCTAGAAGTTAAACAAAGGTTTACCTTTCTCCTGAAGCCAATCCTCTACTGGCCGGGTATATTTGAACGGGATTTTCTTATTTGCCATTTGATAGCGCTCAATGTCGCTGTTGCCTTTGGAGTTCGAGAGTTTAACAAACAGCTTGAAACAGTTGGCAACAGACAGCAAACATTTAAACAGTGGTTTATGATGAGGTTTAGCTGCGTTTAGAATGATTTAGAAAAACTTTAGGATGTTTTTTTTTTTTTTTTTGCTTTCCACAATTTAGTTGAACTTTAAGCTTTACATTTGTTTAAAACACTCCACATTCAAAGAATTACACATCATATGCATGAAACAAAGCAGAAAAATCACCTGCAGGAAAGAGTGAAAACAACAGCAAATGCATCATAAAATACACGATCTCAGATAAATGAAGTACAAACAAAGCTTAACTGGCTTTATGAGAGGAAAGAACTGTTATTTGTGAGCACAAATTCTCCTGGACACCATGTTTTTTTTTTTTTTTCGATTTCAAGGGGGCAGCAAACGGTTTTCTGGGACTCGTTTGGACGGGTGGAGCTTTGAGAGGAAAGGAGGGCAACGTTTTGGGAGCAAAGTGGTAATTCTAAGTATGGCAGACCCGTTGGGGGTGAAATCCCACAGCGGCACAGATTTCAAGAGGACAATGCATACAAATGAGATCATTACTGGCTTAGTGGGAGGTCTTTTGGGGTAAAGAATAAAAAAAGAAAAAAACCCTGCCATACTCGATTCTCTCGAGAGCACAGCTAACATGTTGCAAGTATTTATAGGCCCTTACATTTTTTCACACTTTTCACATTCTGACCACAAACCCTGAAAATCCTGTATATTCCACTTGGCGCCATTTTATAGAACAATCTATTAACTGTGTTTCCTCCGTTTGTTATAATATTTCTGCAGATATGAAACAGGACTAAAAAGAAATTTGACTTTGTAATTTGGTGCCTTAAAATTTGGCCTCTGTCTCTTTAAGAAGCTCCTCGCCTTCAGCACATCATCACAACAATGCTCCTCCTTCAGGCCGTTTACAACCATTCTTAGGAGCTTTGAACTCAGAAGTTGTATGATGAGCTCACACCCGGTTCCAACAGGTGTTTGCTAATTGCTGCTGGCTAGTCTGAAGGAGCTGAAAGGGAGAGCAGCTTCATGGGAATGGAATGCTGCATAATATCTCCTCTTTAAAAAAACAAAAAGTAACACTTAGCCCACAAATGAGCAATAAGGGCCACATTTGACTCTGAGTCACAACTTACAGACTTCAAGCCTACATAGATTATATAGATTTACAATAAAACAAAACAAAATGAAACACTAGAGTTTGTGGTTGCAGCATGAGAACTGCTTCAAACATCAAGGGTTGCAATAAGTCAGTTATAAAGAGATTGCCCCACTGCGTGTGTGTGCCACGTTTTGTTCGAGAGTGGCAGTCTGTCGGGAGCGGAGGATTGAGACGTGGAAGTCTTCAAACGACCCAAAGAGCCCGCAAAGAACCACGGAAGACAGCATGGCATCAGCCAGTAACCCGGCGAGACGAAACAAAAGCAACGGAAACCCACCACGGCATATTAACATGGTTTCATAACTGCACAAATGTGCAGCGCGTGGTGTTGCCTCAAGCGATTTAGGCGTCGAATGTTAACTTTCCGTGAGTGTTGGTGGGGGGCGGGGAGGGAGCCGCCTGATTGGGCGCACATCGTATTCTGCTTGTCCTCACACCCACCCGGTGCGCAGTTCAGATATTTGCCTTTATTACAATAAATTACACCTGGCTGGGAACGTGACGCAATCACATAAAGCCGCAGCGTTCCTTCCTGCCTGCCTGCTTTTTTTTTTTTTTAATATTCACAAGAAAATCTAGCCAAGTGCTCCGTTTATATCCAGCTGGGAAGGAGCGTGATTATGGCTGCGAGGGAGCTCAGGGAGCTAAAGGACTGTGTCAGTAGTGTGCCAGCAGGTTAATCAGCTACGCGCAGGACTCCCTCCTTCTTCCTTTGATCTCAGGCAGGTTTCAGGTGGCAGCCAAATACTCTCTCCTCTGGACAAGGGCCACAGAGGAAGCCATTATAGTTGGAAGTGAAATCAGAGGACGAAGGGGAAAGTTGGAATATTAATGCAGCAGATTTTTCACTTTTCTTCTCTCTCTCTCTCTCTCTGCTTCGCTACTTGAAAGTGTCCTCTCAACCCCCGAACCTGAGGGAAGAATCCATGAGCTTGTCGCGGATTGCTAATGGCAGCGGTCCCAGGTACAAGTCTCGGACTGTTCCAGGTGATTAATGAGGTTGACGGTTCTTCGGTAATGAATACACCACAAGCTAATTGTCCACCTAATGAGAAAAATCTATTCAGTTTTCCAGAGGTGACTCCACACTGGGTAACCTTGCCAATAAAGGTTTATTGTTGAGCATAAAAATCTGTCTGCCTTTCAAGCTTCGTTGTTTTGTGCCCAGATTGTTCTTCAGGAACACTTTTTGTCAACTTTTAACATTAAAAGATGGTGAATAAGAGACAACAAAATGAGCTGAGTGTTACCTTTGACTGAAGGGGAGGTGTTGTGTAAAATGGCCAATATGTGCCATTTTATAGCACAATCAAATCACTATGTTACCTTCAGTGGGAGAAATGGTCTCTGTCTCTTTAAAGCTTCAGGAAGCCCTCACAACATGGCTCCTCTATCAACTCTTTCATAACGATTTCACTGAGAAGCAGCTTCTTCACCAGGTGTTTGCTAATTGTTGCTGGCTAGTTTGAAGGAGCTGAGTCTGACATAAAAGAAGATCTTTGCCTTACTGGTGAAGGGTTTTGTTATATTTCTATTCTTATCAGGACTAGCTTCAATAATTAGATCGAAGCCTTAATTTCTAGTCAGGTTTATTAGCTGCCACTAAAATAACATTTCCTCTCATGGCAGCTTGTTTTTTTGTGTGTGTGTGTTTTTTTTATTTTTTTATTTCAACAACCATATGTTGAAAAGATTAATTAGAAATGTGCTCTTTTCCAGAGCGACGTAGTATCTCAGTGTGCAAATGCTCCATCTGAGCTAACCTCTTTAATCCTCCAATAACCTATTTTCCTTATGTTTAATAAGATTTATGTACATAAACACTTCGCTTGTATCTATTTCCACCCTCCTGCATGCCTTCGCCATTTTTTTTCTTCTACCAGCCAAAACAATGTTTAGCTTTTTTTTTTTCTTCTTTTTTTCCTGTCGGTGGCAGCCATTCAGTCAGCACAAACACTGGCAGGGCGACAGTCATCTGCTGATTTGCCGCTTCGTTCTACTCAGTTTGTTTGCCAGACTGATCTCAGCAGGGCTCCGTCGCGGGGGCCAGAGCCGAGAGCGCATCAGAACGCTGAAAACGTCCACAGCGACAGGCTCCTGGAATTTAAAAACAGAAATGTTTTTAAGGGAGGAGGGGAACAGGCTCGAATCTGTAGCTAGCCACTGTTTATGAATCGCCACCCCGTTCTTTGTAATCTACACCGGACTTTCGCCGATGGTTCTCACTCTCTCTCCCGGTCCTCATCCTGAGGTCATTCGTTATCGTTCGGTTTTTCCCATCCAGTCGTATCCCGCTCCTTCTTTTCCTCCCTCTCCGCGTCTCAGCAGTCAGCCCGCCGCACTCGTCTCGGGTGATATAAGCCTCTTCCACTGCTGTCGTCCATCGACGTTCTTTCCTCGTTCCCGAATGCATTTCCCTCCATCAGTTCACAGGCGTCTGCGTTCTCCTGCCTCACGCCAACGAATGTTTTCTACTCTATCAAAACCTGGGGAGTTTTTTTTTTTTTTCGTTGTATGTTTGTTTGTTGTGTTATCCATCATTTATCAGGTCATCTTCAGATGCTGTTGCAAGAATAAATTAGTCAGGCAGGCAAAACGGGTCAAAAGATGGCGTTCCAGACAGGGCTAACTGCGTTTGGCCCACGGACACACTGGGATTTGTCTCGCTCCTTGAGGAATTGTCCATTTCTCTCCATCACTGCGATTGTAGAAAAGAAAAAGACCGTCCGATGTTTGTGTCAGGTGGTATAATTGCACGTATGCATTTTAAAATGAAAGCTAACTAGCTAGCGTTGCGCCACGAAACGCGCAGAAAGACGTGGCTTCACTCGGGCTCTGACTGAGTGGTTAGGCTGATGGCCATTCATCTGAGACAAAGCGTGAACCGCAGCCAGCTCAAGGCCAAAAAAAAAAAAAAAAAGGCTGATGTGCAATTTCTGCCCGGCTGGATCTTGTAATTCTTTTGATTCAAAGATTCAAACTCGTGCATGAGGGAAAAAAGGGAAAAGAAACTGAGGCCGTGCAATCAAAGAGCGCAGCGATTCCGAATGTTATATAAGGAAATTGGAGCCCTCTCACTAAACAAAAGGCGAGGCCCTGCAGGAATGTGGGCTGTCACACAAGTACACGAGGCTGCGGGAGAGACGCGAAACCCGTGATGAGCTGCGACTGGAAGGAGGAGGAGAAACAGGGATGGAGGAAAAGAAAAAGAGGGAAAAAAAACAAGAGATCTGAGAGGAGGGGGGGAGAATAATTAGAGAAAAGGAAGAGACAAAGCAGTCAACACTCGCACAAATCCAACGCCCACACGCATCAGACCCCCAAACCCCCTCTCCTTCCTGACAGAAACGTTCCTGTATGGAGTCACAGTGGGGGATATTGTTGTATGGATGAAGACTCTGATTTCTTAATACAAACAGCATTAAAGGGCTGTATTTTTATGTCGGGGAAACCGCTGGGTGGATGTCACCCTGCGTTCGACTGCGCCAACAGGATCTCCATATCTCGGGAGCGCAGACGGCGCAACATCAACATCCGGTCGTGTTCTCCATCAAATAAAACAAGGTCAAAATCAACAAGTCATTCGCCAGCAATTAAATTGAGACGCTAGATTCACACCGGATCTCTGCAACAACTCAGAGGAATCGACTATCAATCGACTATCAGTCGATTCCTCGCAATTTCAATAGCATCCCAGTATAACTACTTTAGAGCAGCGGGGCTCAAACTCATTTTGGGCCATATCAAACATTTGAATGTCCTTAAAGGGCCGGTGTTTTGATACAACCCATTAAACTGTTAAAATATCAATAAATAGATGTTTAATAAGTTTTTCTTACAATAAAAAATATTCACACTGATCAGTCCCTCCATCATGTTGTGGTAGTTTCTGCAGTTTTTTGAAATCAAAATAACAGATTATTTAGAATGATTTGTGAGGAATTTTAACATTTGCGTTACTGTATGAGACAATGCATGAACCGCATAGCAGTCATGGACTATAAAGTGACGTCAAGTAAGGCTTATGTCATTTAAACCCAAAGCTTTTTTTTTTTTCCCAATTTTGAGAAAAACTTGCAGTAAAACTCAGAAATAGTTTTTTTTTTTGGATTTTCTGTGAATTTTGCATATTTATGAAAAACCCGATCATCGATGCTTATTGAGAATCTCAACAAAATTGATAGAAATATATTCAGTGAAGACTTTTTTTTTATAGCCAAAGCACTTGTTAGGTTTCTTGTTTTATTCTCGAGAAATATTTCTTGTCTTTGTTGTCGTTCCTACTCTTCAGGTCGGCCTGCTGAGCACCAGCTTTAGCTAATACACTTTGCTTTTTTGTAATCGCCAAGACGTTCAATCTTCACTTTATTACATTTGCCGTCTTCACTCTGTCCTGACAGTGTTTAAGTGATTCCATCTGTTTTTTTCATAAAGCTGATGTTGCCAATTTGTCAACGCTGCACCTGTTGTCAAAACTCGAACGCCTGTTTCTCTCTGAACTGCCGACATACTAATGAAAATAGAAGCTGAGGCGTATGTACGTTCTCAGACTGTCTTATCAGGCACAGCAGGGAAATAAATCTAACGTACAGTAAATATCTTAGTGAGCTTATTTGCAACCATTGTTCAAACTTTCAGAAATGTATCGGTGTAAATGTACTTTTAACTTCCTCTATTGTAATAATTTGTCACGTCATCAAAAATGAAAAAAGTTCATCTTTATTTATCACTTGTGGTTCTAATCATAAGTTGTGCGTTTGTATATATTCGCAAAACTGATTCCTATCTGCTAACTGATGCACACACATCGGCTCTGTGACACTTTGTTCCAGACCCCGGCTTTAAAAATTCACTTAATGAAATATAAATGATTGTTCTTTGGATGTTTCTGAACTAGATGTGAACCTACTGAAGTTCTAAAAAAATAAATAAATAAATAAACAAAATTAATAAATGTAAAAGATCCCAAAAAAAGTGAAAGAAAAGTTTGTTTAAATCTGAATGTTGTCAGACTTGAACTCATCATTTGCAGAACCCACAACGAGGGCACAAAAAGTCAAATTTTCACCCCTTTACTTTTATGCTTTGTGTACTGGAGCATTTTGGCCGCCATTCCCGTTGAGTGAAGCATTAGGAGTTAGAGAAACCATGAGCCTGGACTCTAATAAGCAATTACTCACAAGATGTGAGGAGAAGACTTTTATAGGGTGGGAGAAGGGAAGGGCACTGAGGGCTCCTGCAGCTTTATTACCAACACTTAGGATGGGTGCAGAAGTCAACTGTGACACTTTTGATTGCCTGAGCACAACAACTAAGAGACAAAAATGAGATCTTCATAACGTCCAGGGGTAAAAAAATAAAAATTATCCCCGATTGGCTGATGATAGTAAAATTTGGTGAGTTATGAAAGTTATTTCTACATGATACATATGTCTGTCTGGTCGCACTTTATTTGACTGGGTGTGCATAAGACTGACACGGCCCGATCATAAACATGACATAACACCGTCATGAACACTAAGGAGTCTGAAGTTGCATTAAAAGTCCATTAAAAGTGCCAACTTTGCATTAAAGTGTCGTTATTTACAAAAGTACTTTGTGTTCATTTCTGTTTAAAATTGGTAAGGAACAGTCTTTTGACCTTCGAGCAAATGTGCTTTAGTAAAAATATTGAAAAGAAAAAAAAACCACTCGGACATACCACCAGCACGCTTCTATATATCTAATTTGTTGATGTCGCGTGTGACTCCACAATGCGTTGGTTTGTTTCATGGTTTTGCCCCATTACTCAGGCTGGAATGGAGTTATGAAACCTGTCTGAAGTTATCTGGTCAACGAAAAGCGAAAAACAGCCAAAAGCAAAAGAAAGCCAGAGACAGAAGAGATTAGCATCACCTGCACTGGCTCTGAACCAAACTACCCGGCATGCCAGGTGGCGCCAGGAAAGGAAGCAGTTCTGTCGTTGGTGAAGACGTGCTACTGGGAGCAACATGTGGGGGCCCAAATGATCAACGCAGATTTGCTGTCTTTTCAGAAGTCGGCGGTTTTTCTGTTTGTTGTGCACCTGATATATTTCAGTTCATGACTGCACCGTTCCTCGGTAGAACAGCACAACCAAAGCAGCCGCAATCTTGCTCTTCTGCCACTATTTTACTAAGATAGTGAAGGAAGTTTGTGCCATCTTATATCGCGCCATCTAAATTGGAGAACGTGAAAGAAGGGAACAATGTAGCTTTCTGAAAGTTGGGCGACTTCAAGCCAGAAACTGAGGAGAGCCAGTCCAATTTACCGGACTCGAGAAGAAGCAGGAAGAGATTTTTCCTCTCGTCCTTCCACTCTGTCAGTCTCTCCTCACTTGGAGAGCAGCACACAGGTATCTGCTACAGAGAAGCAGAGTTCCCAGACCTCCAAACGGAGCGGGTTCTGTTTGATGAGCCTATTTGTATTCTGCTGCTGTGCCGCTTCTGCTGACCTGGGAATGAGAGATACAGGGAGACGGCGGTGTTATCTAGCCAACAGGCCACCCTAGGTTCTCTGCCTCCTTCTCCTTCTTGCCTCTCCATCGACCAAAATGCCTCTCGGTGCTTTTGAATTCCCGTTTTCGCATTGGGCTGGCCAAATGTTGCGCAGTTAATGCCTCTTGCAAGACAAAGGATCCTGGCTCAGAGTGTCCCACCCCCACTCAGGTATAGTAACATGAAAGGACTGACGGATTTTGAGTAGTAGTTTGCCAAACAAGCATTTCGTGACTGCTTGCCTCCCGGGCTGTCAACTCAAATGTCGACTGCCCTTGAAAATGAAATAATAAAAAAAAAAAATGATGGTGTCCAGTGATTCTTAGGCTGTATAGAACTATCACTTTTATGTTGCGAGGCGAATGATAAACGATGCTGGCTGTACCTGAGGGAAAGTGCTCGTTGACCGGCCAGTTGTCCACTTGCAAGGTCGCGTTGCCCCCGTTCCTCGTGAATCGGACCAAATGGTACTTGCCGTCGTTTACCTCTGTGTTTGACTCCTTGACACTTATGTCCACTGTCCCGATGTTAAACGTGACGCCGATTTTGCCTTGTTCCTGAAAGAGACACACAAATAAAGACTGAAGGGCTTCTCGAGATTTTTACGAGTGCTCCCCTTTTGAAAACCAAGGTTTCTGTGAAACACTGACAGAATTTCAAAAACACATTACAAGTTGAAGATTTTTACTTTTTTTCCCACTATTTGCTTGTTTCAAGGACATGGTTTCATTTTTAAGTTCCTTTTTGCTCCACACACAGAAATCGAGCTTTTAAAAATTCGACATTAGGAACAAAAAACTGTTTTTTTGTCCGTGTCTATAGTCACGAGTTTGCTGTAATGCACTTTGATGCAGCCTGTTGTAAAGCACTACAAACATAAAATTGTCATTGATAAATACTTTGACACACATTGTAAAATATAACTGCCAAGTTCTTTAGTGCTTGAATCCGTAAAATGCAAAAAGCTACACATTTTGCATCGGGTTTGTCGTCACACCCACATCCTTATTCGGAGCTTAGAGGTTTAGCTAGTTGCACGTAGCAACTACCAAGCCATTCAATTTTATTTCTATTTGAAGTTGCAGACATATTCCTCCCCACAGCTCATCTTTAGAGCCGTTTCCATTGGAAACCAAGATCAGTGTTCTTGAGCAACTCATCTTTTTGGCAGTCGCTCGGCTTTGCAGTCACTTTGTGTTGAGACCAGATTGTCTTCAGAATACCACCAGAGACGATCCAAGTACTTGAGAGCGTTTGCCACATCAAAACATGCTAAAAACATGTGGCTGAGGCCGCGACAACCGATGTGAAAATAGACTCACGGTTATTCATTTCAGGGAAATCACGCCGCCATCGCAGCTTAAAGTATATGGAATATGTGACGATATTACGTAAGGTGGTAGAAAAGGCATCTTATTGTCCAAGGTCACTGAAAGTGAATGTCTCTGAAGCAGTGGGGAAAAGAAACAAGTGGTGTGATTTTAAAACACAAATTCACCTGATGAGAACACTATCATGTGATGGTTACCTATTTCTATGCAATGACGGAGAACAGTTTAAGGTTATATTTCGTTCGTCATGTAATTTGACATCCTAACAGTTTAATATCCGCACAGCAGAGACAACATTTCACAGCAACGCGCCCTAGATTACACCATTAGTTCTTGGCAAGCACTGCTAATCCACCCCATTTGCTCCTGCCGCGCCTCTTTCAAACTCCGTTTGGCTGTGTGGTCAGAAAGCCAGGCAGAGAGACATTTGAGACACACACTGAGTCTCTGACCGATGGGATCGATGGTTTGAACTCTCTCCCTTTCTCACTGCTCTGCGTTCAAGAAATCCCGTTCTCAACCCCTCTGGATTTTTGGGGTTGTAGTTCCGGCATCGTTTGAGATTTTGAGATGCTAATCCGCTGCTCCCAGTTGGAAAGCACCTTGTTATCGCGGTTATGCATCATAGCAAGTGTAAGGACAGTCAAGAAGCTGCACAGCATCCGACACCGGAGGGAATAATTGTCCAAACATGCAACGACGCCTCAACCAAATGCAATGTGAACAAAAGTCTAAAAAAAGAACAAATCGGAACAAATTCAACAAAGCTGCTCCGAGACGCTGCCACTATCAACAGTGCAACTTGAGGGTTTATTTTTTTGCCTTCCTTCCACCCATCCTTCTATTCCTCCTTCCTTCGAATTCATGTTCTGTTAATTTTTCCTAATTCTTATGTATTTTGCAGACATAAGAATATATAATAATCCTGTTGAAGAAAATATTTTGCTGCCAATTGATTACTCCTTATTCAAAGTAAAATATGACAAAGCTCTAGAGATGTCGTTTTTTTAAATTCATTTGTCTTTATATTTTGAGTCTATATTTTATACAGTTTTCTATTTTTATTTATTTTTATTACCTGCCTCTACATACCTATTTACCTACCAACATTTTTCCACCTGGTCGCATTGAGCAACAAGGTGATTAGGCACACAAACCCACCTACCTACTAATTGATTACTTTGCATTAGTAAAATACAAAAGAAATGCACTTTAAAAGTGCTTTTCATCTAATTGACAGAGTGCCTTTGATCATTTTCATGGCCACTTGCCTCATCCATACAGGGAGGTAAGAAGCCTTAAGCGCGACCCACAGATTCAAGGCCACCCGAAGCATCAAAGGAGCGGCGCCGTGAGGCTCCGACAGACCCAGCGGCGCTTTCCATTACCTAGATGAACTTGTGAATGTCATCAAAAGTCAGCGAGCGGGCGGCAGAGTCTTTAAAAAGAAAAGACCAACATCAAATGGACTGCAACTCCCAGAGACATTTGAACTGCATCGCGGCCGTGTTTTCCACTACATATATTGTTGGCGCAGTAATGTATTAATTACACAGTAAACTAAGTGTAAAAGGTTCAATAAAGCGACTTGGATGAATGCCCGCGGCTGGTGCTAATGGTAAACCGCACGGAGAACCCGAGGACGCTTCATTATACAAGTGCAATGTGATGAAAATAGGCTGCCAGCAGAGATTGTAATGATGAGTAATGCTCCCCGCAGCCTGTCTCTATATGAAACCGGCGGGACAGATGCCTTCTTCAGCCGCCGTCTCCAACGAAGCCGTACGAAAGCCGTATGTTATGTTTAGCCCTCGACGCCACGAGTTACATCGTGTCCGTAAATCGCGTCGGCTCTGCCTTGTAAATTTCGGATTCCTCTCCCTTTTTCAAACCCCACTAATTTTCATGAGCGTTGCTTTACCACGACAGCAACGCTGTGCAGGCGGTTGCAGGCAAGAGGCATCAGAGCCCGAGTGAGTGGCGTGCGGCGGGGAAGAGCTGCGTTTTCTGTGTCATTTGTTTTAATCCCCCATAGGGAGTCTTCTCTGTGTAATTACTTTCTTTAGAAGCCGGCAGCGGAGGGACCATTTCTCATAACGAATCCAAAATGAGGAGGCTTCGAGCGGGAGAGGGGGGGAGCGGACACATTTTGCTAATTGATCGGCCGAGCCTCTGACCCCGGACGGCCGACTGATCAGAGTGCGGACCCTGATTATGTTGAGCGGGAGCCTAACAGTGTTTGTCAGCGTGACACCGCCAGATGATAAGCTCCGGCGTGGAGTGGATGACACATCGCTTAAACCTGCTGACCTCCATTAAATGTCACACTCTTCTCATAGCGCAAAGGAGCACTTCATCAGGCCAACAGATTTCTGATGCGGCCCCGACAGTGGCATTCGCACACAGAGACCACATCAGCATTAACAACAAAAAAAAAAAAACAAAGAAAAAAAAAACGATTTGGAAAATGAGGAGCAGATTTGTGTTTATCTCTCTTGTGTCAAATCTTGATTTAAGAGCTTTTCACAGCATTAAGAGATTCAACACTTTTCAGGCATTTATAATTTTAGAGTCTCAATTGCGTCAAAGCTACTGAGATAAACTTTTATGAAAGTATAGGTTTTTTTTAACATATTTCTTAAAACTTAGAGAAACTTGTGCCAGCACAACATAGAAAAAAAGTCCCTGTGGTTCTGTCACCTACAGAAATACACTGATTGGTCAGAGACAGGAGGGTCTTAGCACTGCCATGGTGTACACGCTGCTCACACCATGTCCTTTTCACGCTCCGATGCTACTTCTTCTTCTTCACAACAGAGCCAGCAGTGAATGCTAAAGCTAGTTAGCATGAACACAGATGACGGTGGATAAAGTCCAGCTTGACTGGCTCTGATGATCACTTTCAGTCTTGTCTTAGTATTTTCTCTCCCGTTTGTTCAATGATTGCATCAATAAATACCAATAAATTTGAAAAAATGATTAAATGCAGTCACCATAGAGCTACAAATCGCACTTCATTATCTGAATGGTGTCCTTAAAGAAGCACATTTTCAATGGGAATGTTACTTGACACCGGAGGGAATAACTTTTCAATTTGATCACAGTCGTACTACAAAATGTTGTGATAAAACTTTAAGTCCACATCGCCCACCCTTGGGCAGGACAGTAGCAAAAATGTCGATCACCTATAAAAGCCTAGACAAAAAAGTGAAGCCTGTTTCTTTGAGTTGCGAACTGATTTCTGCTTCTAAGCAAATCTTTTTTTAGGCTTAAGAGGACAGGAGCATTTTTTTTTCTTCTTGATGCAAGGCACAGTGCAACATTTTCCCTCTGGGGGGATTGAAAAGGCATAAAGTTTCTAGAGGAAAACACAATCAAATTCCAGACGAGACTCTCTTTCATTTTTAACTTCAAAGTTACAGTTAAAACATCTTTATTTCTTCACAAATACAAGAAACGGGACGAGGCTTTGGTGAGACGGCATCGACAGAGCAGCTCTCCTCGGCCCGGTTAATAATGGAAAAGACACGAGAAAGCCATTTCCTAAAAGCAGTGAAGAAGTTCTGTGGGCTGAATGCTCAGCTGTGCGTTTTCCCTCTTTGTCACTATGGCTATAAATCGGCTCTTAATATGAGCACTTGTCATTAAAACTCAAGACGGACGCACGGCTGGATGTGAGGAAAGCGTGCCGACATGCGCGGAGCAAAACGCACATAATCGATGCATCCCAGACACGACGGCAACAATCTGCTGATGATTTAATGTGACAGGCGAATGTTCTGTGCTTTGTTTCGTGGAAGATATTATTAAATCAGCTGGGCCCAGCAACACACAAAAAAATAAATAAATAAATTTGATGGGTGAAGCGCATGTAAAAGCACACGCAGTATCCTGGTATATCCTCTGTGACCTTCAGAGGATCTGGCAGCCATTGCGCTCCTGTGAAGCCGTATCAAAGCCACGTCGGTGACCAACTAATACCTACAATCAACAGCAGATTGTCCCGCAGCCAGATTTTAGCGATTGTTGTAGGATTTCTCTTTTGTCTTTGCTAAAAGACCACGAGCCATTTCCCTCGCTAGCATTAGATTTGAGTATTTTAATTTTAAAAAAAAGGGAAAAAAGAAAGAAACACATGTCGAGAAAGTGTCACAATTAAAATATGACTTAGAAGAAATCTGACCTTGTTACTAACTTTGTTACTGACGCCTTGAAATTGGGCCTCT